TTAGAAATGCTTTTCCACCTGATAGGTTTTTAGACACGTTAAACATTAAAATAAGCATGGAATTTTGTGCCCGCTTATTAATATTGCTGTTGTAGCGTTGTCCACAAATTTTTGCAACAAGAATTTAAATCATTTTTGGAAATTAGTCCCTATCTGTTCAACCATCAAACCATTTGAGTTCAGATAAAAAGAAACAGCAAAGAGCAACGTAAAAAGTGTATCGCGTAGCATAAGAGCCGTAAAAGAGAGTATATCAAGAAGTTTATGGCTGTCCACAAACTTTTGCAACAGAGTGTAGGTATTAATAAAATATTACACTGTCTAATAGCATTATGTGTTGAAAATGATACAGAAAGTATCAAGTATAGCAGAATAGAACTAAAGAAGGCAGAGTACAACAAAGTAGGCAGAAATCCAATACATAAAAAAACGTTTCAATACAAAGCAAGTGACTACCAGGCAATTGAATACAACAAAGTTGAATACGTGCAAGAGAAGGAACCAACCAAAATGGTTATGAACAACCTGAATAGAGAGATCAATACTAATGAAAAAGAGACAAATTCAAAAACCAATTTAATTGAAATCAACATCACTTTTGATGAGAATGATTTGGATAAAGGTGATTTGTCTGACGAGGACAATTCTGCCGTAGAGAGCAATCTACAGTTTAATTTGCCCAATAGCTGAATGATTCCTGTCATTTATTGCACCTCTTCATCCGATATTCCACTACAAGTGCATGTTTTCATCAACCAATTTACGAATCCCCTCTTTTTATCTGGTTTTCTTATCACTTTCTTAGTTCGACTTTCTACATCGCGTATCTTGAATAGCAGTGGGATATCACATGATGGTTGAATGTTATCTACGAATGGTATCGGCACATTTTTCTCTTCCATCTGCTGCTCAATCTCACTCATTCTTGTGAATGGATAAAATTTTTCATATTTTGATCCATAAATAACTAAATCATTTGTAAACCATTACACTCTAAATTGCCTATACAAGAATATCATATTCATCGCACCACTTTTATCCAATAGAATACAACATCGATCTAATATTGTTTATTTGAAACAGTTTGCTTTACATCTCAAACAAGCAATATAAAAGTAGATTCTATAGGCCATCATGTTTATACTGCTCTGTGCACTGAATGTGCTGCTTGTGCAGGCTGAGAAGATTCCTGATTCACAGATAGAGGGAAAGACAATTAGTGACCTTAAGAAGGAGGAAATAGAACTGTTGACTGAGGAACAGAAGAAGGAGTTGGAGAAGAACCAGAAGGAGAAGGATGCAAAGGAGAGTAGCAATGGCACTACTAAAGAGTCTAATAAGGAAACTAGTAAACCAGAGACCACAACTAATAGCAGTACTGAACCAGGCAAAACAACCAGCACTTCATCATCTAAGTCAGCTTCAACCAGCACTACGTCTTCCACTGAGAAGCAGAAGAGTCCTCTGACTAAGACATTGGAGAATGGCGATGTGGTCGTGGTATCAGCTGGTAAAACGACAACAATGAAACCAGAAGAAGCAAAGAAGTACAGTGAATCAAGTAAGAAAGAAGCTACTGAAACAAGCATCAAGCAGTCTACTGAATCGGATAAGAAAGAGACCAGTAAAGCTGATGGTAAACAGACTACTGAATCAGGTAAGAAGCAAACATCAACGACATCCACATCAACAACATCACCATCTAAATCATCAGAACGAATCAAATCACAATCAGAATCGATCACGAGTGAAGTGGATTCTTTGATAGCACAGACAACGAGGTCACCTGTTGAGTTGCATGTGAGACCAGTTGAGACTACTACGACAACAACAACATCATCGACTGCAACAGGTGAACCAAAGTCCACACCACAAAATGTGGCAGTGAATGATTCAAAGAAGAGCACTTTGAGAGGCTATCAGGGTGAAAAGAGGAGTTTCCTAACGAAGTTGTTTGACAGCCTCAAGTCGCATGCAACTGAGCCAGAGGAGAAGAAGCTGAATGTTGGAGAGGTGCCACTACCAGAAGTGACAATAAAGCAGAAGATAATGAAGAAACTGAAGTCTATGAATCCAATTACATCAAAGGTAGAAACAGCAACGAATAATGAAGGAGGAAGTAAGAAGGAGGAAACTGGTACAAAGAAGGACGAAACTGGTATGAAGAAGGACGAAGGTAAGAAAGAGGATAGTCAGAAGGATGATACGATACAGGAGGATCTACCAAATAACTTGCAGGATGAGATGTTTGAGAAACTTACTAAACCAAGGAGAGATTGGATTAAGGCAGAAGCAAGGAATGAAATGATTAGGAGTGAGAAGATGGGAATAAGGTCCAATTTGATGACTGGAATAATTAATGAATCATTGGCAAAAGAGGAAGCAGATGATGATGACGACGACGAAGAGGATACAGGTTCAAAGAAGAGTTCAACTAAGAAATCAAAGAAGAAATCAAATAGCCTGATGGGAGAAATGGAAATATTGGAATTAAATTAGTCACCAGTAGAAGATAAATAATGGAACGGCTATCAAATTGCCTAACCAATATTCTGTGCTAATATTTCTACTGAAATACACAAAACAACCCCAGGATGACAAAAGAAGAGGATGAAAAAGAGAAGCAAATCAGAGATGCATTCAAGAAGGAATACGATACAGAGAGCAGGAGTCTGGTTGGTTGTATAGCAGAAGCATTGACTAAGAGAATTGGTGGGAAAAGAAGGAAGAAGTTCGAGCAAATTGGGGCTACAAGTGAAAATAAGACTAAAATTGAAGAAGAGAACCATAAATGGTTGAATAAGTTCAATCAGGACGAGAATGTGAGCTATTTACGAGTAGATTGTGAGTCACGTGATTGTAAGGAAGCAATGGTGGAGATGAAAGGCAGAATAGAGCGGATTGAAAATGAGAACATGGAGATGAAGGAAGAGAATGAACAGCTTCGGAGGCGAATAAGGAACTTAGAGAATGAGAAAAGCGTTGATGTGAAGATAAGCAGAATGGGTGTAGAATTGAAGGGAGTGAAGAATGACCTGGATAGAATAAAGAGGAAGATGAATGAATACACGAGAATCAAAAGAATGAAGGAGACAAAGAGTAGCACGGAGGCAGTCAAAAGCAGTTTGGATGAAATGATACAGGAAGAAGCAGAGCCAATTAGAATTGGACCACAGAACAGTGCCCCATGTGAGAGTACTAGACTGAATAATTCATCAGATTCATCCATCGAAATACTTGAAAAGTGTCAGAGTACGACATCAAATCCAACTGAATCAAACAACACAATTTTAGGCAGTGATTTCATTGAAACAAGAAGTGTGCGTGTGATACACAAACCAAAGAAACAGGAGAAAGAGAAGCAGGTACCAAGTGTTACCCTGGAGCCATTCATCAAAATGCAGTCAGAAACCAATATCAGTAATAGCATGCTTTATAGCGATAAAAATAACAGCACAAAGAAACTCACAATAAACAAAGATGTAATAGAAGCAGTGAAGAAGAAGAGTGATCAATAAATGTCCTGTATCATTCACAATGCATCAGTCATATCATATTCCTCTGTCTTAGTCTCCGGTTTCTGTTCCGATTCCTGTTTCTTCTTCGATTTCTTCTCCTGTTCCTGTTCCTTATCCGTTTTAACATCTTGTTCTTCCTCCTTCTCCTCCTTCTCTTCCTTTTCAACTGTTTCTTCAATACCTGTGTTCTTATCTTCATCCTTGCCTGGTAACTCATTGCTAGGAATATTCTCTTCCAGATTGAACACGTGAACAATTCCGTCTTCAGTAACCCCTTGTTCACCCACATTGTTCTCCTTGTTCCACATATTTTCTATTCTCTCTGCTTCTTCTTTTGTTACTGTTTTCAGTGTTATCACTTTCTCAGTCGTATATAACTCTGGTAATCCAACTGTGAATTTGTATTGACCTGGTTTATCCATAAATACTTTCTTAGTAACCCTCACATGACTCGGATAGAAGACAACAACTGCTGAATTACGCGTACCAAAACTATTTGAGTCTCCATTCACGTAGTAGAAGATCCACTCATTCTGGGTGTTGTTTTCGAATTTGCTGAACTCTCCTAAGGATATTCGTTTCTTATTCTTAACAAGAACCAGTGACTCCTTGGGACGCAAAATGCATTGAAGTGTACTCATCCGCTTTGTATCCAATTTGTTTTGCACTGTCTTCTTTCCTTGTGTATTCCGTATCTCCAATAACATCTCTTTCTTCCCTAGTAGATAGGCAAGTTGCTCATAGAGAAGCATCGTTTTCTTGCTTGTTATGCACCTGTTCATAAACACGTTCTTATCATTGAATGTGTCATTGTAGTCCGCAAGTCGTTCAAGCGGCCCTTCCTCACAAACCAGTCTGACATCACTGTTGTATCTGAGTGACCTAAATTCATTTGGATCATCCACATTCTCAGTTGAAATGTATGAAACACCCCTCTTAGTTCGTACCAGTTGTTTTGCATCTACAAATCCAAATAAACAAATCTGCATTCTGGGGTGTCACATTTTACTCTTCTATTCATTTATTTACCATTCTTCCTACAAATTATTCACAAACTTGTATTCTGACTCATTCAGCATCAATACACCTGATTCATGCTCTTGTTCCTTGCTACGAGCATTTCTCCTATGTCTAACTAACAGTGTAATTAGAATCAGAACCATAGCCACCAGGAATATCGAGAGCATCCATAGTGCAATTTTGAGTTCTGTTTTAAGCTCCTTTTTCTCTTTAGGCGTCTCACCATGGTCATGTACGCTTGATTCACTGTATGATATTGGTTGTGTTGTTACTGAGTCCGTCAGTGTGGTATCTATCTTCTTCAACTTCACTGTATTGTCCTGCTTGTTTACTGTCAACTGGGATATGAATTTGAGAAAGCCTGGAAATCTGTTATTGAACATTTTGACGAACTTCATCCCATCCTTAATTTCCAATTTGAATTTCTTTGTAGCCATCCGTCGTATACTCTTTGCCGTTGTTTTGGATAGCAGTTCATCAACAATGCTCCTGATCTTGTTGATATCAAACATATTGTACATCTCAGTCTCCACTTTTATCACTATCTCCTTGATTGGTATTGTGTATTCAGTCATATCTACTCCATTTTCTAATTTCTTATTAATCGGTGTTTTTGCTACCACTTCAGTCATAAATAGATCATACGCATTTTTGAACCTGATCACGTTATTGTTATTTTTGCTACTATCTTTCACAGCACACTCATAGAGGTATCTGATGAACATCTCGTTGGCATCTGCCCCCTTGAATACGAATGTGTGTAAAATTGAACACGCCTTATTCTCTTCCCTCATTTCCTGGTGCCTTGTGTCGAATTCCACCAGTTTTCCATAGAATTTTATACCTAAATCCTTGTACTTCTGTTCAGTTAACATATTTGCTACAATAGTTGCAAATGGGTGTAATACTCCACACTGCTGTCCATATAATTCATCAAGTACCTTGAATAAGACCCCAATATTCACATCATTCATGTCATAGTACTCCCATACATCCTTATAGTCTTTAAAACGGTGGGCTATCAAGCTCACCATCAAATCATTGTCTCTGATTATTGATGGAATACCGTTCACATCCATCTCTGCATCACGACATTCTACGAAGAAGTCACTCCATAGCTTAGACAAATCCTTGTTGTAGTCCTTGGCTCTGCCTATGTTATTCTCAAAATACGGATCAGATACGAACTTTTCGTTCTCCTTCTCTATTATATCATTGTATTTGGTGAACAGCAACTTGTTGTCTTCATTTAACTCCCTAATAGTCACAGGACCAATGTTATTCGTTGTCTTCTTCTTCCCAAAAGTAAGAAAGCTTGGCCACCCAAAACGCATCTACGGGGGTAAATGAATTTCTCCTTTAAATCATCAGGCTAAAACAAATTTATCCCTTATTAAAGTATTAAATCACCCTTATAGTTATTTAATTAACCTTAAACCATCCTATTGTCTCCCTATTATTAATCAATCTATGCAAACAAACAATCACCCCAATGATGCTAATATTGATAATTAATTTGGTACTTGCTTCTCTTGATCAGTGCACCATCTTCCTTAATGAGACTGAAGTTGAATCTGTTGGTGACCTAGTATCCAAATCACTAACATCCAATGCACCTGCTACCCTGGCCTCATCAATTAGTGGTGTTCTACTCAATGCTGGCAAGTATTACTCAATAAAAGTCATAATGAAAATGGAGACTGAACCCAAGGAATTGATCACACCAAAACAGCTGAGTCAAAGAAGACTCAACAAGTTGCTTGAAAAATCAATATTGTATGATATGAGAAGTGCAGTAGCCTTCTACGCAACAGGCCATTTAAGTGAGACACAATTTACTGATTTAGATAGAAAAGATGTCATACAAGTTGTACTTGAAGTAGACTCAAATACGGGTGAAATCCGTGTTGTTCCAGGTGGCAACCAGAAGAACGTGCTCCTACTCACTGTCACCCTCTCTATTTCAATCCGTAGAGAAATAGGATGTCTAGAACACAGCAATCATTCTTTATCGTACAGTCCCACTACCATGGAATCAGTCAAATCCCGTATTGTACGATGCATCTTGGACTACTTTGATCCTTAAAAGAGTGAATTGAAGACTGATTGTACTATTCTTACTTTATTCTCTTCCTTGCATCTTCATAATCAGTGGATGCTGCCTAAATCCAGTCTTACTCTTCTGTATCACCTTCTTGATGTACTTCTTCTTTCCATGCTCCCTTCTCTTTGCCTTCTCAGACCTCCTGGTTCGCTTCTTGGCCTCTGGATACGCACAGGATGCACATTCTGCCCTCTGTTTGTGGTACGCCATGTGCCCACACCTTGGACACAGAAGATGGTTTCTCTTGGTTCTCTTTCCCATGCTTGGAGTTCCCTTTGACATTCTGGGGTAAAAATTGCTATTTTTTCAACTGTCATTTTCAACTACTTTTTCAACTGCTATTTCTCCCCTGATGACTTCTCTTTAAACTGCAGCAACAACTTCTGCTCCAAATCAGCCTCATTTCTTGTTCTACCAATCAGTCTCATCTTCTGGTAGTATCCTATTGCATCACCAGCATACTTCACTAACCCATCATTCGTATTGGTCTTGTAGTCAAATAATGAGTTGTAGTAGGGTGACTCATCCAAATCAACCAAATCAGCCTTGAATGAATTTGGCTCAGAAATAGCAGCCAGAATCCCATCAAATTCCCACTCATTCAAGTCCATGAATAGTGCCACATCCATGCAGGAGAGCATCACGAACTTATATCGCAGTGAACACCGTCCAATATTCAGCTCCATGTCTTCCTTCACAATTGGATAAAGAAGGCTGATTTGTCTCTCATCAACTTTCCATAGCAGAATTCGAATCAGGCGATAGAGCTCGATCTTGATGTCCATTCCGGTGTTGAAGAGGTCGAAGACACACGATACGATCTTATCGACTGCTCGTGCATCGTGGACCCTACGAGACGTGTAGACCAGAAATCCAAGGCGACGGATGCAGAATATCTTGTAGGCTGTGCCGTAGGAGAAGAGGGTGTTGTCTACGCCTCGTGTCAGGGTGTCGATTGTCTTGGCGTAGTCGACGTACGAGGAGAGCCCCTTGAGAATCTCTCGTTTCTCTTCAAGCATAAAAGTGAAGAACTTCTCCCCCTGGAAATCAGCCATCACTGCCTCGGTGAATGCGATAGCGAGTCTCCTTCTTGGCCCGTAGAATTCGAAGCTGTTTTTGTGGTAGAAGAAGATCTCATCGACCACGGCAGCCACGATGCTCTTGGATCCACCAGAATGTGATCCATCTTCCGCCTTGCTTCCACCAATGATCTCCTTCAGAATCGCCTCTTCCTCTTCGTCCATCACCTTGTTTCTACTGTAATTCACTATTGCGTATATCGCCCTATACAAATCAACATTTCTTCTCATTTGACGAAACAGGAAGTCCCTGAACTTGTTGAACGTGCCAGGGTTGTTCAATACCACGGAATAGGCCATTTTGAACGTAGAGAGGGTGAACACCTTCTCCATTCCAGCCAGGGCAACTGAAAAGAGGCCAGAATCAATCCGCTTGAGGTTCAGGCGAAGGAGGGCGATGATTTCGATTTCAGAAAGGCGCTTTTGGAAGCGAGTCTTCTGAACTGAGACCATTTGGTTTCCAGTGGTGAAATTGGAGTCGTCGTAGAGCACAAACAGGAGATACGAGTTGAGTCTGGGAATCAGGAACCTGAAGAGTCTGCTTTTGAAGGTGGGGTCGAGGCAGCAGAAGAACGGGAGGAGCGAGATGTCTGCTGGAACAGCCCTTGAGAACTCCTCTGGGTTGTGGCTGAAAGTTCTGTAGGCGAAATCAGCCATTTGTGACGCAAATTTGGATAACCTGATTCCAATGCAGTAGTGGCTATGAATTGATGAAAGAGCCACCTTCGTCTTCTCAGGCCCAGTTGCAGTCTCAGCCACCTCCTGGGGCGTGTAGTGTCTCGTTATTGCATTCTTCTCAGAAGGCGTATTCACGGCATTTGCGCCTAGTTCTGGGCCACCCTCGTAGAATTCAAGTTGGGTGAAGTTGTCGTTGAAAACGAGCATTTTGCCACGGTAGAGGATGTTCGTATGGCGAATTGCACAGGTTACGAGGTATTGGACACTTCGCTGATAGAACAGGGCAGTATCAACATCAAGGGCAACCATTCCATCAAATGCATCATTCCACATGTGAATGTAGTTCTCATCACCGGATATGGCAGTTGGACCAGCCTCAATCAACTTGTTGTAGAACTCGTTCTTCTTTGATTCGGTGAAAATGCCCTGGAAGTTGATTTCATTCAGAATGATCTTGTAGTAGCTCATTAGGTTGGAAATGATGTAATCTGTTCCAAGCATGTAGAGCGAATACTTCACTATGTCAATGTTACGGTTGAATGCCTCCACAATCTGCTCTGGTTCAGCCGTGTAGATGCGTACTCCATTGCTGCTCAAAAAGTAGTAGATTTTCAGGGTGTTCTTCACCACTTCAGTGGAAAGGGCACTTTGCGTATTGTTCTTCTTCTCCTTGAGCATGTTCCCTAACAAAATATTCAGCACCTTATTGATTTGCACCTCAGTGTCCTCCTGCTTCTTCGAATACAACTTCTCTCCATCATTCTTGATTGTTTTCAGTATCGTATAGTTGTTGATCAGGTCATTGAATACGACTAGGCGCTTGTTCAGCATTGCCTTGTCTGCCTCGCTTATCAGGTTGATCACACTCTCATCAGCATCACCACCAAAGTAGTCTCCAATATCCACCAGAATCATTCTGATCAGTTTTCTGGAATCACTGATATTCTGAATCAGCAGATAGTAGATGTTGGTGATCTCCTCTGATATTGCAGCCGCAACATTCTCATGTGTCTTGATGAAGTAGCAGAATACCAGAAATGCATCCATGAATACGCCCCTATTGATTCCGTATTCGAGCAAGTAGAGCATCCTCTTGAATTCGTCCATGTTGTTGCCCTTGTTGATGTTTGCCAGCATTCGGTTGACTTCGCTATTTACGATTCCAACTGCACCGTATTCAGTCAGAAAGAGTGGATTCATGTTGATCTTGTAATCAGCCATCAGAGACTGTTCCAGGAAGACTGTCTCAGGCAGAATGTGTTTGATGACGTAGACGTGTCTGAAGTCATTGGTTACGAATGTCTTCAGGTCATCAACAAACTCACTTTGGTAGAAGGCCATTCCAAATAGGCCGTGGAAGTCCTTGATGAATTTCAGATCAGCTGTTTTGAAGCCAATGACCATTTTTGGCTCTGATTCCTTCTTTATGACGGTGTCTTTGAGAATGTGGTTTTCTACTACGCTCACTGATGCATCATCTTCTGTCTCTACCACAGTTCCATCATACTCCTTGATCAATTCGTACATGTTTTTGATCTCATATTCAACCTTGTTGTAGTTATTGGCATTGTAGACCTCCACTATCAGATACATCAGCAGATTGATATCATCCTTTGGCTTCTCGGTGTAGAAGTTGGTTACGCTATTTAGATTTTTCAGGTATTCGATTTTGATCTGATTGAATTCCACTGGTTCTGAGATGTTCTCGTTTAGTTCTTCTCGCACTGCTATCTTCAGAAAGACAGTCATGTAATTAGCAAACTCCTCTTCTCCCAGAATATTCTTGTATTTGATCACTTGCCTTGTGATTATCAGCAAATCAGTCTGGTAGAATGATCCATATGCCGTATTGAATATGTTGAAGTAGAATGCAAGCAGATCAACGAAGCTGTTCAGCTGTGCCTGACAAATGCGACTGTTTTCTGGAATATCCACCACTGAAATTGATTCGTCTATCTCAGATAGCTCTGCAATGTCTACATCTGATAATACATCCTGGTTTGTCTCATTCTCTTCGTTAGTTAG